CTACGGTTAAGGCAACATTTGCTGTTAAGGCACCCCACAGGGTTCAGATTCACAATTTTGTTTAAATAGTCTGAACTCTAGCCAAATGAGCTAACCAATCCCAGGGAGAGTGGCAGGACACTTACACATTCCACTTAAGACTTCAGGGTCACTTAATTCACTGAAAAAATTTATAATGGATCAGAGTTGCCTAATGGAAATAAAGTCCCTCTATGTACAACTAGATCTTGTTCTTGTGGAAGCATTGGCTCAACACTGGAGAAGGTGGTTCTTTTCCACAGCAGTGAAGTCTTGTGCTCAAAATCCTAGCACAACAACCTGCATGAATGGATACTTTATTCAGATCAAATGTATAAGGTTGGGAAGAAGCGTGATGTCTTAATGCCACATTTGGTGCCCTACCTAGGCAGAACAGAAATGAAGGCTTCTGAGTGGCACAAGTCCATGGGCTGCCGTTATACTCTACAAAATGGACACCCTGGCATCCTGCACTACCTGATGCATCTCATGCAATCTCTCTGAAACTAAACCCCTTAAAATTATTCATTAGCCTTTTAGAGATGAGGTTTGCAAGGATCGAGGCTTCCTATACCCATCGTGATTTTAAAGGTTAATCTTAGAGCATGTGTGAGGAGGAATTTGATACAGTGTCAGTCCCCGTATGCTGTATGTTACACAGACACATAATATATTTTGCATAGTGTATGTTGGTATCTAATGGACCCAGAAGATTAGAGAGCACAGAGGCCTCTCTTTTGGCAGATTCCAAAATAGTTGGTTGATGTTTGAGTCTACTTCAGTCAAAGAATTTCACTGTCAACTGGAGACAGAGCTGATATTTGTACATGACAGCTTCAAGACTCACACTTCCAGTAATAGTAGCAACTAACCACCAACATGTTTCTGAAAAGAGAAAGTGCTTATTTTAACAACAACAAAAAGAGACATTAAGAAATGATATTTGGTTTACTTCCAGGAACATCTCATTTTAAACAGAAAACAAAACAAAACAATATACCTCTAGCAAGTCTTGAGAAACTTGTTGAAACCACAGATTTATTTGATCTTTTCCCTAGTTTGGGATGAGGATGTGTTCCTCCCTTGAAAGTCCAGGAAGTGGATTACACCTCTCCCCCCAGAATTGTGTAATGCCTCTAAATAGTTCTCCTGAAGTCTGTTTCCCATCATCACTGAGAATTTCACAATGTGTTTCCAAATGTGCTTTTAGATATTTTTATCCCAAGCACTATTCTCCAATATTGTAAAACTTTGTATTCAAGGGAGCTTGGCAAATGGTAGTGTAGGATTAGTTTTTTTCTCTAGTTTTATTATTTTTAATATAAAATATCAAATCTGCATCCAGAATCTGACTACGCTTTGTGAAAACTTCTTCAGATTCCTTTTTCCTATTCTATTTGTGGAATCTTCACATATTACCTTTGGAAAGACCTTAGATATCATTAGTTGTAACTTCCTAATGTTACAGAAATGAAAAAAGAAAAATCACATTCCAGCACCCTGTAGCTTGTGAGTGGAAGAGCTGAGTCAATTGTCCTGCTTCCAAGTCTAACATCTTTCCATTTCATTCCACTGTTGCTCTTCATGGTATTAGTATGGCCTCCACCCTGGGCCATTCTCCACCCTCTGGCAGGTGCTGTTTTCTCTTGCCCTCCTCTAATTGGATGACTGCTGACTGTGGCAATGGAATAGACAGCTATGGAGCCCAGTAAATTGGAAAAGTCTGTGAACGTAACTGGAGTGTGTTGCCCACTTTGTAGCTGGAGGTTTCTTGTCCTGCCTGCCAGGTCCCAAATAACCGCTCTAAGGCTTAAGACTAATTATAATTGTTTGGCCAATGGCTCAGGCATTAACTAGCTCTCACAATTAACCTAATCCATTTCGGTTCTTCTACATTTTACCATGAGGCTCGTGGCTTGTTACCTCACATCTCACTTCCCTGGCGGCTACATGGCATCTCTCTGACTCCATCTTCTTTCTCTCCATTTCTTTGTTTTGATTTCCCATGTAGCTATATTCTGCCTGGCCATTGGCCAAATCAGCTTTATTTATCAACCAATAAAAGCAACGCATAAGTGCAGCATGCAGAAGGACACCCATGTCATCCACTTGGAGAAAGAGACAACTAAGTTTTTACACACTGGAACCAGAGTGCAGGTGGTGGTGTGCTGTCGAGCTCAGAAGAGAAGGGACATAATTTTCAAAAGAGTTGGGGAAACTTTGAAGAATAAGTGAGAGTCTTGGAGGATGTTGGAAGTTCACTTAGAAGAAAGGAAACATATACAAAGACCAAGCTAAGTGGAGGACAAGAAAGGAAAATAAGCGGGGGTGTGGCAATATTCACCAAGTGCTGAAATACCTATGAGATGGGAAGACTACACCCCCATGCACATGGTTGGGGAGCTGGGGAATTGATTCAAAATTTTACTCAATGGTTTATAGAGAGATGGCCTAGTCATGGAAAGTACTGGCTGTTCTTCCAGAGGACTCGGGTTTCATTCCCAGAACCTAAATGTCAGCTCACAGCTGTCTGTCACTCCAGTTCCGGTGTATCCAATGCCCTCTGCTGGATTCTAGCAAGCACACAGTGCACATACATATGTGAAGTCACAACACCTACATATAAAAATAGCAAAATAAATTTTAGAATATTTAAAAAGCATTACTGAATTTTGACTCCTTTATTTGAAGGAGAGAGACAGAGAGAGATAGTGAGAGAGAGTAGAATATATGTGTCTACAAAGTCATGTGTATGTGAAGTGTATGTATAGTGTCAATGGAGGCCAGAGGTTGGTGTCTGGTGTCTGCCTTTCCTGTTTGCTCTCTATTCTTTTTTGGGACAGGGTCTCTTTGAACTTAGAGCTCACTGGTCTGGCTGACCAGCAAGCTCCAGGGACCTGCCTGTCTCCATACACCTCCGCACAGGATTACGATGTGTTCTGCCGTGTTTGGATTTTTTGTATATGGATGTTTGCGGTTGTAAACTCTGGCCCTCTAGCTCACACAGGAAGCACTTTACTGACAGAGTCATCTCCCCAGCTCAGGAATTATATTTCTATGGCTACTGTCTCATTGGTTGGTTGTGTCTTAAGAACTTAACAAAGCCTTTCTCTGTGAACATTTGCATTGTCATTGATGCTATACAATAATCTATAGAATGCATTCTTGGTTATATCTAGTTGGAACACCTTTAGAAACAAACTCATTAAAGAGAACATGCCCTGTGAGGCTTTTAGTGAATTCCCTCAGTTCACCCTCAGAAATATTACATGCCTTTTATAGCTCAGGAAAACCCCTTTCCTCACACACCCATCTCCAGGAAGTCAAATTAACTACCTATTTGTGATAACCATTCTGCTCAGTTTTGTCTACTTTTGTGTTTCATTCTTCCTTGTTATTTCTTCTCTCTTTTTGTTTCACATTGCTCATATTTTCTGTGCATTTTTCTCTCTGCTGGCTTGGCAATCATACATTCTTTCTCTTATTCATAGTTACACAAATATTTTATGAACAAATTGGAACCTTCCTTTTCTTTTCCACCTTATCATATTGGTATATATTAAATGAATTGCTTTCTTCCACTTATCCACCTGTTTCTCACATATCTTAAATCTTTATTCTTTATATTATGCATATTAGGATTTTTAAATGCCTCCCTCATTTTTAAAGTTTTGAATGGATGCAGAGCTAGGATTTTCTAGTATGTGCCGTGAAAGTTTGATAGTCTTTTTTTTTTTTAAATAATGAAGAATTTAGAACCATGGTTATTTTCCTAATAGCTGCATTATATTATGAATCTTACTTTTAATATGACTACTTCATGCTTTTGGCATGGAAATACACCCACCTCATGACTGTGCTTCATTTAATTGCTTAGCTGAGTGCTGCCAAGTCCCCTTTGTTATTAAATGTCTTATTCTCGAGCTGTTTTACAGATGGGCAACCCCAAAGGGCTAAAGCCACAAATTCAAAGCCACACACTGTCAGTGCAGATGGATGATGGAAGCAAGGTCAATTAGATTCTGTTTTTAATCTTTTCTCCCTGTGAGCCTGGGAGAAGCAAGATCTTTCATTCCTTTTTCTTCAAAAGCCCTTTTCCCATCAGTTAAGGATTTTTCTCTAGCCTTTCACTTTCTCCTCATCCCTTGTCAAGGGCTTCCAACAGAAACGATGGGGTGATTTAGCATATCTGCACCGAGGATCTTAGAGTAGAGTGGCTGCACAGAATAGGAGAGATGAAAGGTAGATTTCCTATTGAGTGTCACTGATTCCTTTGAATCCCTTAACAGACACTGCTATGAGTTTTCCAGAAAATCAATCCAGGCATGCCATAATGTCATATTTTATGACAGAAACTAGTTGTAGGCTAGAGAGGCTTTCATACCATGTACATAACAAACAAAATATGTCAGCCTCTAGAAGGTTTTGTAGCTGCTTTTGGAGCTTGGAAGGTGGTTCAGTAGTTAAGAGCACTCTTAACCCTTAACTCTTAAGAGCTGCTCTTCCAAAGGACCTGCGTTTATTTCCCAGTGCCCACATGGCAACCAACAGCTATCTATAACTCCAGTTCCAATGGGTTGATGCCTTCTTTTGGCCTCAGTGGACACAGCATACACTCAGTGCACATACAAACCTGCAGGCAATATACGCACATAAAATAAAAACACAAGAAGTTTATTTTTAAAGATTCTTTCTGCTTAAATTATACAATAATTATTTCTATGTAGGAGGATTATTTTTTTTTTTTTTTATTTTTCGAGACAGGATTTCTCTGTGTAGCTTTGGAGCCTGTCTTGGCACCCCCCCTGGAGACCAGGCTGGCCTTGAACTCACAGAGACCCCCCTGCCTCTGCCTCCCGAGTGCTGGGATGAAAGGCGTGTGCCACCAATGCCTGGCTCCACCCCATTATTTTCAACATTTTTCTAAGCTTCTATGGACACAGCACATAAATGGACTTCTCTGGCCACTTGTCTGCCCACAGCTTGCCCGTCAGGGACATATAAGCCTGAAGCATCTCCAGGAGGAATCAGCACGTGCATCCCATGTCCCGATGAAAACCACACTTCTCCACCTGGAAGCACATCCCCAGAAGACTGTGTGTGCCGAGAGGGGTACCAGACATCCGGTCAGACCTGTCAGGGTAAGCCATCAACTGCGAGCAAACAGGAAGTAGAAAGCTGACCTTGATCTCTGTGATGGGAAGAGCGATGATTGTACTCAATTCATTTAGTATGGTCTTCCACATCCCTGTCTTTGGTCACACTGCGGCGGGACGGTCATTTGTTTGTATTATGTGCCGTTTATTAGCACTAAACACATAGGCATTCTACTCCAAAGAATGGTTCTGAGATCACAGGAGCAATGCGATTGCAGAAACTATGACTTAGTACTTAGAAATGAGGAGTACTGCAACTTCAACAATGAATTTGAACAGCAAAAAAGCTTGTCTTGGCCCTGGGAGTTCTCAAATTCATTTTTTAAAAAAGTTTGTTTGTAAATATTTTTCCTTCATGTAAAAAGTAGAAAATATTTACATAGTAAATTGTATAGTAGAAGCTATGACTTTTTTCTGAGTGCTGAGATTAGATAGCTCTTTATGTCCTCATTACTTTATTCTACCTTAATTAAGAGGGAAAATATCCAATGATCTATGAAAGTCAAGATCTAGGGACAATGGTACAGCTTAGTGAAGGATCATGTGCTTAGCACACGTGAGGTCCTGGGGTCCAACACCAAAGCTGGGGAGAAAGCTGAGGAATCTTACATTTATATCAGTATCAAAATAAGACCCCTTGAAGCTAAAAAACGTAGTGTTCCACCTATGTTACATCTTAATTGGTAGTAAATAGCTACCAGGTGTCATACATGTGTCAGGGTTCCTGCTGAGAGATCAGAGAGATGGAGCAAGCCAAGCACATCTTACCTCCTACGTGTCTCCGCAGAGAAGAAGAAAGCAGTTTCCTGTTTCTCCCTGGTGATAGCCTGTTTCTGCTCAGCTACCTCACATCCTGTCTCTCTGTACAGACATCCAGTCCTCTATGGTTAGCTAGTGGCAAGCTCCATTCTCTGACCACCAGACAGACTTTATTTGTGCAAGAAAGATATCACCACAGGTTCTTCTTTCAAATGCACTTAAAATAAGATGGATCAAGTGGGAAAGCTGTGGGGAATTAAAATCTGTAAGTATAGATGTATATATGGAGACAGACAGACAGACCAATAGATAGATGGCATGGTTTGTTAAACTGAAGCCATGCAGTTCCACAGACAAGCTTTGACTTTGCTTTGTGCTTTTCTCTCTGTTAGTTGTCCACTGCCCTACACTGAAGCCTCCTGAAAATGGTTATTTTATACAAAACACTTGCAAAAACCACTTCAATGCAGCCTGTGGGGTCCGATGTCGTCCTGGATTTGACCTTGTGGGAAGCAGCATCCATTTGTGTCAACCCAATGGTTTGTGGTCGGGGACAGAGAGCTTCTGCAGAGGTATGCAGGCACTTCGTGTTGATTCTTGGTTGTCTTGTCTGCCTTTCACAGTTTAAAGTCTAATGGGCCAGTCAGTTATTCGCTCAAACACCCATGAAAGTGAAAATTATAGGAAGGTTGAAAACTAAGTCTGACTGACCGCATCATTGTAAATGATGCCATTCATATTGCTTTGATGAACAAGCAAAGAAAAGGTCTGTCTAGATCAATGGTTCTCAGCCTTCCTAATGCTGTGACCCTTTAACATAGTTTTTCATGTGGTGGTGACCCCCAAGCCATGAATTTATTTCATTTCTACTTCATATCTAGGATTTCGCTACTGTTACAAATTGTAATGTAAATGTCTGATATGCAGGATATCTGACCCACAGGTTGAAAACTGCTGCTCTAGAGGTAAATGGGCAGGCTATTCAAACTTTAATAGTCAAGATAGGGTAACAAGAACATCAGGACAGTTGCCAAGTTTTGGGATAGATTCCTACCATAAGACAGGGCTTGAGTCATACCAGAATCCTGCAATGGGAGCACCTCAACTCAAATGTCTCCAGCTCTAGAAAGTGGAGAATTTATTATGGTGAGATTCCAAGGAGCCAAGTGAAGCCAGTAAAAGAAAGAGTGGGAACAGCTGTGGGGGTCATGGCTTCCACATCAAAGACAGAGCAGTGTCTCAGATCACCCCATTTGGCTGTCTCTGTTACCTGAGTTCCTAGTTCTTACAACTATGTAGTCCCAACCTCCAAAGGCTTCACAAGGCAGGAAGGAGGAAGCTTTCCAAAGAAAGGCAAGAGCAAATTAAGGACTTGAAGACCTCCCTCCAACTTTCTGGTCCCCAAAGCTACTCAGTCTAGAGTACTGGATTTGGGACATAGAAATATGTAAAAATTAATAATTGATTTTTCTGAAGTTCAGACTTATTTGGACATCTAGGTGGATTGATTTGTTCATTACTGAAACTGGCAGCCTTACTCTGTCCATTGTCAACACCCTTTGCTGAGGACTTGACTTCTCCAAGACTCCATAATTTCACTGTCTCCTGGGAACCTCTGTGCTTCTGTACCTATGGGGGAAGCTCACTAACTTGCATTCCAAGAGCATTTGAAAGTTCCACATACATCTGCTGTCTGGGTTTGTTAGCCACTAAAACTGAACCCAATAGTAAGTAGGAAATGATGCCAATCAGATCTTTATCATGTAGCCCACCAAAAGTTAAGGACAAACTATGGCCAGCAGGTTGAACAAAAAATGGCTGACAGGGGAGTGTGGAAATTTGAATGGTTCAGTCTCAAAGGCAGTCACATCAATAAAGTAAGACTGGAATTCAAAAAAACGGGAGGAAGTCTAAGAGCGATGAGAATTCTTAGAGTGGGAGGGAGAATCAAAAATATTCTCACAGCAAAAAGAAACTTAAAAGCCAAATTAATAAACTGGAAAATACAACCTGAAAAAGTCCTTTAAAAGCAGAGAATAATGTCAAAGACAACAGAATTCTGGAAAACATGCAGTAACAGAGGAGCAGACTCTAGAAATGTCCCTCTCTTATGAGGAGTTCAGAGAGTGAATGGAGTTGAGGAATAATGGTAACCGAAGATCAAAGAATACAACCCCAAGGTGAAATCTTGAAAACAAATATGCATAACCAAAACCTTTAAATCTAGTTCAGAATCAGTTAGCAAATGCCAGAAAAAATATTAAAAACATATCAGTGTCTGGAAATAATTTCAGTGACATTTCTGAATGCTCCAGAAAAACATGAAACAGTGTTGGCTTCCTAGTTACAAACAGCTTACCTCCATGAGGCTCCGACTAGCCCGAGGCTCTTTGCTGGGTGTCCAAAATATCTGGAGGATATATATTTAGGATTCTGAGGGAAAAGAGTTAGAATATTGATTTCTGGTCTCAAGCCACTGTTGATGTGTGAAGGCAAAGGAGGGACATTTTCTGTCAAGCACTAAAACCCACACATCTTTACTAAAGTAATAGTTCTGACCACATTTGAAACACTTTCCTTGAGGTCCCTAAACAAGGTCACCAGTTCTGTGTGAAATGTTTATTCTTTCCTCCAAATAATGGACAGAGAAGAAGACTAACATGTTAACTTTCTATGAATATCTTTCCAAAGGAGAAAAGCTGAGTGGACAGTCCACTGTCCCTGCCTTCCATAATCTAAACATAAAACCTTGTGTCCTATGCTAATAGCCGTAAAAGTACATAGTGCCTCTCTGAAAGCTGTTGGTTTGCAAGCCTTGTATTATGCCTTTGATCTTCATCTGCAAAGCTCTCATTTCTTGTCAACCTCTTCAGTCTGAGAGGTGTGGCCCTGGAGTGTTTGCTGCAGTTTTCCATCATTCCAGCCCTTATGCTGTCCAAGGTCTCTCAGGGAGGCATGTGTGTTATTGGGTTAAGACCTTGTTTTGGAGGTCAAATCCTACACAGTTTTGGAAGGAAACTGAAAATAGAAAGCCCAGAGAGAAGTTAGAGCATCAGAGAATCCCTCATGACTCAATCTGAGATCCCTGGCCTGTCAAGCTTTCAGAGTTAGAAACCACCAGTCACATTCTGGGGCGTCTAAGAGCCTTGTCCTCTGTGTAGTTATGCCCCTGTGGCTCTGCGGCCAGAAGTGAATGTAGGCCACCATTGTCACCAGGGTTACCAGTGAGGATGTGAAAGCGAGTAGGGACATGTTGGAAGGTTCTGGGTTTCCCTGCATTTGTCCATCACTGAATCTGACTGCTGTGACCACTGATACACTTCTTCCTCCCAAAGCAAGCATTGGCTTCTCTTCTGAGTAAGTCACTCGAGACTACAATGGGGATTCTGACCAACATATTTCTAGCTTGACCAACCTGTTATACTAGCTACCTTAGCCATCGGCATTGTTGATTAACTGCTCGACTGTTAATAAAGCACTGTTAATATAGACTTAATAGAAAATGTATTTTTTCCTCCCCTCTATACTGAAATTTCAATTTGACAGTGATGCACAGTGATAAACACACATTGTACAACAATGAACATATAAGCAGAGACCTGAAGGGATCACCCATTAAAATAAAAAGCATGTTTGTTCTCCTTTATGTAACTCAATTGATATTCTAATACAGGCATTATAACATTAATTACAAGAGGGGATATTTGAGAATATTATGGGTCATATGAGCCTTTTTCTTTTGGGGCCACCAACCATCTCCCAAATTGTAATATGGAGACAATATTAGTTGTCTGGACCTTATGGTATGCTCATTTCTTGCTAGCTCTAATAACTTAGCCTGTTTCTCTTCATTTACATTTGCCTCTGGGCTTTTTCCTTTTTCTTTCTCTATGTCCTACTTTTCTTTCTTCTTCTGTGTCTGGCTGGCTGGACCTAGGCATCTCCCTTTCTTTCTCCCCCATTCTTTCCTCCTTTTTCTCCCTGGAGCATAGATTTCAACTCCACCTTATTCTCTCTGCCTGGCAGCCCTGCCCACCCTCTCCTGCCTCTCTATTGGCTGTTCAGCTTTTTATTAGCCCAATCAGGTGCCTTGGACAGACAAAGTGAAACAAATGTAGCACACCTTTACATGGTTAAAGTAATACTCTGGGACATAAACAAATGTAAAACATCTTTGCCCAGTAAAATAATATTCCACAACAATGGATTGTCCTAAAACCTCTTGACTTCAGCACCAAAGCCACTACCTAGCTCACCTTTAAGTAGAGTTGTCCTGAATGAAGACTTGGTCCTCTCTTTACCATGTTATCAGTGCCTTATGGATTTATTTGCGATCCAGTACAACAAAACATCTACTATATGTCATCAAATCTAAAATGTATTTTTTTCTATTTTTATGTCTGTAAACTTAGAATATACCTTAAACCAGCAGCAATAAACAGCTTCATGAGCACAAGCGTGGCTTTAGTAGCAGCTCATAAACAATGGTGTATCTGGGACTTCCATTTCTGGGAGAGGAGGGGTAGTATGGAGAAGCAGGCTATAGATATAGCTTAAATGACAGAGAATAATTTTAATTATATCATAGTTTTTATAAAAAAATCTAAGATTGAGTCAAGAAAGAGTGATTTAGTGGAAATTAGATCCTAAGTTTTTCGTCTTTTACATGTTTTATGTTATACTGTCAAAGATGAAACCCACAGCACATTTGTAGATCTGTCATTGTCTATAAAAATCAATTGTTCTCTTTGACAAGGCTGGCTTCCTATGTTTATTTTCCAATTTTAGTCATTTTTCTAAATTATCAGGTACTGTATAATCCATCTATAATAATTGTGTACATCATGGAGTAGAATAATTCCATACAAGTATACAATGCAACATGGTCAGATTAGGGTAAGTTGCTGTTTTCTTAATCAACTACATATAGATTTCTTTGAAACAGATATAAATTGAAAAACAAAAATATCATAAGTTGAATCTAGTAATTAAATGTGTGTCTATGAAAAATGGTGGTAAATACTCACTCTTGAATGAAGAGTATAAAATATTTAAGAAACAAAAGACTGTGTTTGCTTTGTTTTCCCTACGGAACAATGAAAGTTTATTAAGACCAACATCTGAGAAGCAATACAGTTTGCATCTGTGACATGAACTCCAATGTGCTATGAGTACCCTCGAGAGATGTTACAATCCATTTCATCTCAGCCTTAGAAAGTTCTGTCTTGTTTTCTGAGATTTTTTTAACTGAAGCTAAAAGCAATTGCCTGGTATTATTTTCCATTTTATATATCTCCATCATAGGAATTTATAGCACTTACTTTTAAGACAACCAAGGAGTTTGCATAACATTATTCTTGATGGACACATGCAATGATAGTCCTATGTGGAGGCAGAGTATTTTGATAAGTATTTTATTAATAGTTGACTTCAGTTCAAATTGTCCCAAGGATAGCAAAGGATACAGATTAATATTTATTCTCTCATTTAATTCTCTATTTTCTCCATGGAGTAACAGGTCTATATTATAAATATAGATTTATATTTAATTCACTTAATATTTATGCTCTGCCAACTGATGTAATTTGAATGAGTTCCCACAGAATAAATTCTGCCAATAACTTCAGTGGAATATGGGCTTGAATATTTCACATGAGCCTTCCTTCCTATTTTTTAAAGTGTTTAAAATAAATAAACTCATATTCTTGCTATTAAAAAAAACTTACTCATGCATAAAAGTACACTCGGAGTCCTCACAATAGTCTTGATTTCCAAACATTGTGCTGAAGGTTCTTTTGGGATTGCTGTGTAGTCTTCTGGCCTTCAGTGTTGCATAGTACTGTCAGCAGTCAAACTGAACTTAGCTCTTTTGTAGGGTCTTTTTCTTTGTTTTTTTATTCAGTATCTTTCCCTAGAGAATTGTTAAAGAGAATGAATGGATAATGCATAGAAAAAACTTGACTCCTGGTATCAAAGTTCAAATTAGCAATACCTTGAGGTTTAAGGTTTTTCTCTTGTCTAAAAGGAAGACGATATAGAAAATGCAAAGTTGGTGGAAGAACTCCATTGTCACCAGAGACTAGGGTTTCTTTAGTGTTTCTACATCGTCCTCTTAATGCATGGCACTTTTCCTATATTATTGGCAAATATGCAAGAGTTCGCTGGCATAGTCTCTCAAATGTTTTTCTTTGGGAAGAAAAGAAGAAAGGAAGATAGAAAAGTGCTCCATTGGTTACAAAGTCCCACTCAAATTCAGCTCTATGAGGGTGTGTTATTTATCTATTCATACTTTAAGAACAACTAATTGTCTTGTCTGTAACACTAAGCTATTATTAAAGTAACAGTTTCCACTTTTGTCTGTATTTAGTAAAATGTAATTTTTGACATTTTCTATAGTGAGAACATGCCCTCATCTCCGTCAGCCCAAACATGGCCACATCAGCTGCTCCACTGTGGAAATGACCTACAACACCATGTGTTTGGTCACCTGTAATGAAGGATACAGATTAGAAGGGAATGCTAAGCTTACCTGCCAAGGAAATGCCCAGTGGGATGGTGCAGAACCTCGGTGTGTGGGTAAGTGGCCCAAATACAGGAGCACTTGATTTGTCCAGGATTCTGCAAGGACCTGTAACTGAACACATGCTCCTGATACATATGAATAAACACGTGTGTGTGCATACCAGTGGTACTGTAGATACATTGTCAAATACATTGCTGAGTCACTCTAATCCTTCTAGCCCCTTTCACCTTTTTTCCGACATGACTGATGCAAAACTTGAAATGCCTGCTCTATGACCACTCTTCCCAGCACAACTCAACATAACTGCATAATCCCCCAACTACACTGCACTTATCAAAGAGAGAAGTAGTCTCTCCATTGTTAAGACTCTGACCTTGAATTCACTGGTTTACAGCTCCAACAGGCAAGACACACACACACAAACACACACAAACACACACACACACACACACACACACACACACACACACACACACACACACCCTGAAAGAGGATAACTTGAATGTTTTTTTAAAGCAAATGCTTTTGATCACTTTATTTGTTGAAGATGATTTATCCTCACCTTGTTGAAAGGACATAATTGTGAACCAGAAAATTTTTAATGTCTTTTCAAAATTTTAAAAGCTTTATGTTTAATTCAATGGTATAAAAAAAATTCCATGCAAAACTGGCAATGATATAGTTGTTGAAACAGAAATGAAGTATAAAGGAGATGAGATACAGTAGAATTGTAATGATGGAAATTCTTTAAAATTAAGTAATAAAATAGAATTTTTAAATGTAAGAGAAATGCAAAAAATAGAGAGGTCCTAAGAAGTTGCAATAAAGCACACAGGAAGACGACCTTTAAAGTGAGATGCAGTGTGAACCTGGGCATATAAATAAAAACTGTTTATATTGCCCATGGTTTCTGGGGAAATGCAAGTTTTTAAGTGTTTTAAGAAAAGAAACCAGAAATGCAGATGAATATTATTCATAAAAAATGGGAAAATACTATAATAGTATTACCTATCCCTCCAAAAGTGACTGAAGGGTCAACAAACAAAAACTTTTCAAACTAGGAAAAAATTAAACTTTGAAAAACAGTAATTGTCATACCATGTAATTTGGTATAGAAAACTATCTAATTCATATTAGCAATCTATTATTTTTTGTTCCAAACCTGGTAACTACTACTAATAAAAACCCTGAAATTATAAACTAATTGTGCATGTGTCACTAATAACAAATATAAAAGCAATCTATATTCAAAAGAATGTTCGACCAAAACAAGGAGATTTTATCCTAGAAATCCAATAAGATTAAAATTAGGAAATCTGTCAATATAACTCATTGCTTTCATTACAGCAAATGGGAAAATTTGTGTGGTTGCTTAGTATAAAAGAAGAAATTTAGTCATTGTCATTTCAAACACATTTTCAATAGAACTGTAAGGAGAGGTGGCTTAGTGGCTAAGAGCACTTACGGCCCTTCAGGTAATGCTAGTTCAAATCCCAGCACCATATGGAATCTGACAAGTCTGTAATTCCAGTTCCAGGGGATCAGAGCCCTCTTCTGGCCATTGTAGGCACAAGGCATGCAAATGTGCACATAGAAACAGCAGACAAAATATCCATTCATGTAAAATAAAGTCCACCATAAACCTGCAACTACCATGAAGAAACAAAATAGACAGTTTTGTAGAAACTGGAAAAAGAGAAGAATATGTGATCATCCATTACTCTTCAGTATCAGCCCTAATAAAGAATCACAAAATTAGAGATAGTGATATTCAGTCTCATCGAGATTGGTCAATTACTAAAAAGTAAAATTAATCTACCTAAAATAGTGAGAGTTCATCTCTGCCATAAGAACAGCAAGTAAGCAGATTGTATTTATATTCTGAGAACTAGGACAAATAGTGAAAATCACATTCAAAAGATTGGTTTACATCCCCTGAGAAAATTGAGAACATGGGAAGAGGGGGGAGGAAGCTACGAGAGTAAGAAGGGAAGAAAAGGAAGGATGCAGAGGTCATGAGGAAGCAGAAATTTTGAGGTGTAGATTAGAAGAAAGGACATATGAGAGGTAGGATTTTAGTTGAGGGGGGTGGTAGAGGAGGAAGGGAGGGAGAAGTAATTGGATTGTCATGTAATTCAATCTTGATTTTAATTCAAATAAATAAAAAAAGATTGGTTTAAATGTGCAGGGGGTGTAGTTCAGTTGGAGTGCTTACCTAGCATTCGGAGTCCAGGGTTCATCTCCCTTCACCTTGTAAAGATGAACATTGAGGCACTCACCTATATCCTAAAAACTTGGGAAGCAGAGGCAGAAGAATCAGAATTTCAAAGTCATCCTTGGTTATATAGCAAATTTAAGAACTAGATGGGGTATTTCAGTCACAGTTTGAAAAGATAAAACAAATAAAATTCCCAAAATATCTACATGAAACATGTAAGAAAAATTAAACAAATGTGTAAAACTTGAATTACACAAACTAGAAGATGCTTCTGAAAAGCAAAAGGGGCATCTTAAGAATATATATGATTCCTGAGCTGCGCCATGGCATGGGCTGGTGGTGGGGTGTGCTGAGCTCCGTGTGGAGCGTTCTGTCGAAGGAGGTGAGGGAGCATTTTGGCACAGCCCATCTGGGGAACAAATACAACTACATCCCCAAGTATAAGAACTGGAGAGGACAGACTATTCGAGAGAAAAGAATTGTAGAAGCAGCAAACAGAAAAGAGCTAGACTATGAAGCAGGAGACATCCCAACAGAGCGGGAAGCATGGATTAGAAGGACGAGAAAGACTCCACCTACTATGGAGGAAATACTAAAGAATGAAAAATACAGAGAAGAAATTAAAATGAAAAGCAAATATTTTTTATGAGAAAGATAAACTGAGTAAAGAAACCAGTGAGGAACTCTTGCCTGCACCTGCTGCAACTCAAATTAAAGGACATGCCTCTGCTCCACACTTTGGAAAGGAAGAACCCTCAGTGGCTCCCACCAGCACTGGGAAAACTTTTCAGCCGGGATCCTGGATGCCAGAAGATAGCAAAAGACAGAACCAATGAGTACAGTACGGTAAAGTCATTCCATTTATGTGGACATGGCTATTTTAACAAATAAAACAAAGGTTGAAAGTTGATCACTTTTGTATTTCCTGAATATGTACCCTGTGTTCCATAAAGCATGAGTTATTTATTATGTATAATGTGACACTGTATGTATAGACGCCTAAATATTTTTAGATTTGAATTCTACACTTGACTTACTCATCATGTCCCACCTTGGGTTACCATGCTGCAAGCGCCATGCCACTGTGACTGCTCAGTACATGTAAGGCTCTCGGGTTCAAGGAACCACCACAGATAATGTGAGGACCACAGTGGACATTCACAGCTGCTAAAAAGAGAGATGGGGGAGAAGATTCGAATTTCAAAAAGAAACTGGGATAGAACATGTGACTCAAAGAAAATTCAGTTAAAAGTACTAGGTTTGCTGGTAGATGACATAGGAACAGTCATTTGAATCTCCTACAAAGGAAGATATAATTTTGGTCTGATTATCATGTGCCTTGGAGTTGTTTTGTTTTAAAGACAGGGTCTCACTGTATTCACCATACTGGCCTCAAATTCACAGATCCATCTGCCTCTGCTGGCATGCCAGTCCTCAATTGCTTTCCTACTTGTTAAAAACCACCTAGCTATGAATAATTCAAAGTAGAATTTAAATATTAAATAATAGCTTGCCTGCCATATTTCATTTTTAGACACTTCAAAGTTTATTATATCTCTTGCAAGACAGACTTAAACCTATTTTAAGTTTCTAGTCTCAAGAGTGAAAATGTTCACATTAACAAAAGAACATTGATTATATCTTAAATATATACTTTTAAGAGCTAAATTCTTCCAGTGTTCTATGCATCCACTAAAATGTGTAGGATACTTCTGCAAAGATGGGCTTAACACTGTATAAACTTTTAAAGCTCAAAAAGATGTTTCCGATTCCAGGGTTTAATCATATAACCTAGCCATGCCTATATTTAAAGTATATATACACACAAGTAACTATATGGACTGAGCATGTTGTATTTAGGAATACATACAACTCACACATAATGTTTGTATGTAACAAAGAAAAAGAGGTCATGAATTTGAAAGATGGCAGGAGTTGGAGTTTGGGGGCACTGAAGGGTTTAGAGGGAGGAAAGGGAAGTGGAAAGTGATGTAACTGTAATCTCAAAAAATAAAAACTTAAGGAAATAAAAAAAGAATATATATGATTTTATCAAAATTTTTTCTCCAAATGTATATGCATCCATGAAGTGTAGCCTCATTCCATACCTAAATGGAATTTTCCTCTTGTTCTCCCTTTTTTGGGGAAGGGAGGAGGTTCAAGGCAACGTTTCTCTGTGGCTTTAGAGGCTGTTCTGGAACTAGCTGTTGTAGAGCAAGCTTGTCTCAAACTCACAGAGATCCACCTGCCTCTGCCTCTGCCTCCCGAATGCGGGGAATTAAAGGCGGGCGCCACTTTTAAGTTAGAGAGTGGTGCCAAGGTTTTTCTAGAAGACTGTACAGTCAAAAATCACTAGGATATGTTGAAAAAGAAGAGCAACGGGAATAAGAAAAGTTGGTCACCTTGATTTTAAAATAAACACTAGCACTGCAAAGATTAAGATAATGCAAAGACTGCAGACAGCTCAAGGACATTATAGCTCAGTTCAGGTATTACTAAGGAAACATCACAGGTCAGTAAGAGAACACACATGAAAATCTGTTAACTACTTGAGGGGAAATGAATTTTTTCATGTCCTTAATTCATGTCAATCATTGAAATAAATTCTCTTAAATTTTAAAATAGGAAGTAGAAAAATAAAACCACTACAGCAGAAGAAAATCTACTTAACATATGTAAGTGAACACTAAACAGCCTCAGAATTTATTGAGCATAAAAGCAAGAGGTATTAAAATATTAAGAAAAACATCGGTATATTAGAATAAAAATTAAAATACATATTCACATAAGTACTTTGAACAAGCATAACAAAGAGGATAAAAATTTTCAACAATTCTCAGAGTCAAAGGTAATTTTGTTACATTGTGAAGGATTGATCCTTTAAAAAAAAGTGCGTTGAATACTCATTACAATTGAATCACAAATTTAGCTGTGATTTTTCTTCTGCTCACAGCAAACCAGAGCATTATAGTCCCACAATGCTTACCCTGTGCAAATGTAGAGATAAACTAGCTCCTTAGGGAAGATGAATTGAGAGAATTCAAGTCAAGGAGGACATGGTGGTAAAATGTCCAGGGGCATGAGTGTTCTGCCCACTACCTGCTGGGTGACAGGGAAATTACTGACAAATTTCATGTATGTACAGTTCTTTTGTTTGTAATCAAGAAAAGCAATACTTCTTCCTGTATGGAATTAAATGAGTCAACATGTGCCAGTATTGACAGCAAGGCCCTGCCATAGTAGACATTGAATAAATGCTGACTTTTACTACGTGAAAAGGAGGACAAAAGCTGTAACCAATGGTATCCTAGAATTTCTACTATAATAAATTAATACATACATGCATGCATACATGCATATATACATACATTTACACATTAAGTCCTAGCCTGGATTTACCACTTCTATCTACAGTTTACTTAATCTACCTGCTTTTTTTGTTTGTGCCAAAGATATTAAGAAGGGTCAAAGACAGTATGAAGGGTCAAGGCCCCAGTTATAACACAGTTGTCTGCAGAGGTAAAGAGTTTTCTAAAATATACTTACTTAAACACAGAACCCTCTGTTGGCAGAGGTGTGGGTGAGCCAGCCCTAGTGTTATGAACATGGCAGAGATGTCCCCATTACTCATCTGTTGTGTGGTGGCATGGTGACATGGCTGCTGGAGCGATACCAGCCCTCCACCAGCACCTGAGGCAGGCCATGAGGTCATAGCACAGGAGAGCTCTTCCTGCCACTCATCAGCTGCAGCACTTAGGAGAGTGGCCCCTATACCTCACCTGAGCAACACAGTAGAACTGGCCCTGAAGGTATAGGTGTAGGAGAACCAACCCTGAGGACATGAAAGCCAGAGTACTGGCCCCACCCCTTGCTCATCACTACAAGGGGGTGAGCTAGCCAGGGCAATGCTGGAGAACTCACAGTGGTAGTGAAGACAGAGGAGAGCTGGGGGTCTGACCAACCCTGCAACTACCCAGGCCCAGAATTAGGGCTATGTGTTGGCCCACCCCAACATCCACTCCATCTGTGATCTGTTGGAGCACAGGAGTGGAGGATTAGGTTGTCAATAGATCCAGAGTTGCAGGATCTCCATGACAAGAGGAAGCTACAGGATTTCCCGGAAGAGTCCCGGAGAGGGTCCAGTGTCAATAGTTGATTATGTAGCAGAGACCAGTGGCCTGGAACCGGACCAATGATTCTTTGCCATAAAAGCCTGCATGTAAAAATGTAAGGATAAAGGCGTTTGCTGTGTGACTTGCTGTGTCACACTTCAGCTTTCATGAGGAGATTTCCCCTTTCTTTTTTTCCCCTTTTCTTTCTTAAATTTTATTTTGTTTTATGGAGTGGGGAGATGGGTAGGATTGAGAGATATGTTGTAAAAGGTACAAAGAATAAATTTTAAAAAAACAGAACACAAAAGCTGATAAAATAAAATCAGTTGCTGAATATACCACTGAATGCATGAAAGATGGAGTACAATTTATTCTTCAAATGCATAAATCATATAATCAACAGTGAATAAAGTTTCCTAAAACAGATGATAAAAGTCACAAACAGAAAAATACCTGAGAATTTCAGGGTTTTGATACAATTGCAAGATAACAAAAGATGGTCTCAGTTGGTAGAATGGTTGCCTACCCTGTAGGACACCTGATAAACTTGGTCCCACATGAAGCCAGGTATTACAGTTCATGCCTTCAATCCTAATGCTCAGAAGGTAAAAACAGAAATATGAGAAGTTCAAGGTCATTCTTGGCTGCATGGCTAATTTTAGGCCAGCCCTGGCTACATGAAGCTCTGTCTCACAAAGAAAACAAAACATAAACAAATTAGACAAGAGATAATCAAAGAGATAGTTCCACACATTTTATAATACATTTTACATGCATTATTACACACAATCATTTAGGGGTGGGCTATGTCAGTCTAAGGTAGCACAGTTACATTTGGGGGTGAGGTAAAGGGACTCTGTGCCATTTCTATTTTGTGGAAATGCAAATAACATGCTGTCATTTCTCTGAAACAGAGCGCCACTGTGCCACCTTCCAGAAGCCCAAGGGTGTCCTCATATCTCCACCCAGCTGTGGCAAGCAGCCAGCCAAGCCTGGGATGACCTGTCAGCTAAGCTGCCGCCAGGGATACGTCTTATCTGGGGTCAGAGAAGTGAGATGTGCCACATCCGGGAAGTGGAGCGCCAAAGTTCAGACAGCTGTGTGCAAAGGTAGGTGCCTGCATGGGGCAAGAGAAAAACCAAATTCCTAGATAATGGCATATGAGTGCTGGGAAGGGATGCTCCTCCTGGTAAAATGGCAGGTAAAAACCATGTATGAACTAGGAAAATTTCTGGTGCAAAAAAAAAAAAAAAAAGAGAGAATTTATAAAAATCCAGTTGGGAGAGAATGACAGAAGAAATGGGAAAACGAAAATGATGCTGGAATCAGCTGAGAGTTCTCATTGGGAGATGGAAATCGATAAAGAATGTCTGATGCATATGAGGTAGACGAGCCTGAACAGGAATAAAGAGCCACGAGCTCTTTGAAGCCTGCATCTGATTACATTATCATTTACCCCACAGCAAGGGCAACCCAGGGTGAAAAACAGTGTTAACAACAGGAAAGAGTCCTAACAAGTAAAACTAGGGTTGAAATAGAATCCTCCAAAATAAAGTGTGTGTGTGTGTGTGTGTGTGTGTGTGTGTGTGTGTGTGTGTGTGTCCTCCAGAAGATAAAGGGAAAGTATAAAATAAGAACTGGAGTGGATATTGTTGAGATATCACTAATTTGAAGTATTAAACCGAGAAGCCTTTGGAATAAGTAATAAATAATGGATATCTCAACTGATTGACCCAAAGAGACTGCAGTCAAGAGATGTGAACGAGATTAAGGATCGAAACACCTATGTCATGATGAGAGGCGGAAGCTGAGGGGAAAGAGGGTGAATTTTTCTCTCCATCCTTCCTACTGTAGAAAAGTTTCCCTGGAAGGTCTGGATCTTTAGCACCAGATAGCCCCTGAGCACTGGGCTAACAAGCTTCCTCTGAGGGAAATGTCTAAGTTGCAGAGTCAATGAGGGAAACTTAAATTTCCAGAAAAGGAGAAACTGTTCCAATGAACATGAGTCCAATTCACATTACAGAAAGAAAAGCTACCTTGCCTCTGGAGACAGGGAGAAAACAAATATAAATAAATTTCAAATCCAATAGCCAAACTATTACTATGAATGAAAACTGTAATAGAACTGTTTTCAGAATATCAGTATGCAACTGTGTATCTTCATAGGGGAAAATGTAAATTGAATAAAATTCCAACAATGCAATAAAATTAGACAAAATATAGAAGATTCGGATATATCTATATGGGGAATTTAGCAGGCCTCATTTAACATCATTTAACAATTAAAGATGTATTCTAACAAGAATTCATAACAAGAATTTGACTTCAAGTCACTACAATTTGATATGAATAACCTTATCTGGCTTAATTCAGCATTCGTAGTATGTAAAGTTTTTCCACTATAAAAAGTATCATTAGATTTATTTGCTGTTTGTTTGATAGTATAATCTAGGACTGTTAATTAATTCTGATTGATGGCCCCATTTTCAAGTGTAGTTTCTGTCCCAGTCAGCTTTGACTTTCTTCCATTTATTTCTGTTTCATTAAAAAGACAAAATATTGACCAAGTTCCTACTGTATACCAGGTGTAGCCATGCCTGCTTAGGGGCTGGCTACAGACCGAGGAGGCGTTGTCAGGCAGACCTGTAGCCAGCCCCTAAGCAGGCATGGCTACAGGTTCCCCTACAGCCAGGCACTAAATAAAACAGCAGGGTGAGGAATACTCTTTTCCTCCAAGAAAATGGGAGAAACTTCTGTTTCACAATGGCATGCTGAGATTTCTGCATGGGAAAAAACAAAGACTACTAGGACTCAGAGAGTGAGCATGCCAAGTGGTTCCTCAGAGCAAGGGGCAGCTTTTGAACTTAGGATGAATGGACCTGCAGCTGCTCTTGAGGTATGGGTGGGAGCATTAAGACAGATGAAGAGACAATTGAGACAAAGGCCCAAGTACAGGACAGACTGCAGAGTTCCATGGGTCAACAGCAATCTTCCCTACAGTGGAATGTGAATGTTGGCTACATGGCAGGGCCAGCTCAGGAAGGGGCTCCTAAGCCACACAAGATAAACTATGCAAAGTAGTTGTGTCATCCTAATCAATTGGTAATCACCATATTAAAATTATAAATATTGATATAACCAGATTTTTAACACATTTTTTAAAATAACCTAGAAGTACATGTCAGGGGGTTTAATTGAGTTGTGTTTTTTGGGGGGATCAGATGTGGAGGCTCCGAAAATCATCTGTCCAAATGACATCGAAGCTAAGACTGGGGAACAACAAGACTCTGCTAACATCACCTGGCAAATCCCAACAGCTAAAGACAACTCTGGTGAAAAGGTAAGGTTGGTGTAAATACCTTCATCCCATCTGAATGGATTCTAAATAAACTACACACGCACGTGTGTGATGTGGAAATTTTACTATACCCTAATGCTGTACAGTATTGTCTCTCTATTTCACTCGAAATAGTTCCTCACCTGAGAGAACAACCAGTGTTGAGTTCTCTTCTAATAGAAATATCAACCACAAATTGGACAAAATCTTTTCATTCCATGAGTCTGTCATATTGTTCTTTCCATTAAGAACCGTCATCAATGATTCTTCACTCCTTGGGTAGTTCTGAAAAATCTAAGAAAAGAGTGATATGAAACTTGATTCCTAGTCATGAGCATCTTTTAAATGATGGACCCCAAAAGATAGCATATTGGCCAAGCTGAAGGATGAGTTGTCAGCATTTCTTACTGAGTGTTCCTAAACCCAGCCTTACTCAGTATTTTAACCTTAAATGTATGCTCACTGGCTACAGATAATCATTAGATGCTAGGGAAGAGCGTCATTTAGGAATTAGGGATGCAGTTTCCTGTTACAGATACACTGTGTCCAGATGTAGGCAGATATCAGTAAACAGCATTTTGCTTTCACAGCTGCATGTAAATAAGTGTAAGCTCTTCCAGGCAGAATATATTGGGAGTGGGAAGCAAAACAAATAATAATTGTTCTAATAATTGTGTTGAATATATTTACATTCAAAGTAGTTTTAAAATTCTGACCTCTAGGACTAAATGTAAGGAGGTGTCCTAGGGCACACTGTGACTACTTTCTATTAGAAATGCAAATACGTGCCATCTTCACCAATATCAAGCAGAAAGGGATGTATTTTAGGATCTGATGAGTCATTGCAGTAAGCGCAGCATCTATGTGTATACAGATGCAGAAATCATGTATCTATTACTCTCTGAGAAAAGTCAGTCCAGCCAGCATCAACAGGAAGCAGGAAGCATATCTTCATTTCCCCAACCCTGACTGCTCTTGGTCAGGGTCTCAAAGGCTGTGCCAATACATCATTGTCTTTCATTCCCTGTTGCCAAGAGAGTAAAAGATGATGCCTTCAATGCTATAGTTTTTCTCTATAACTTCTCTTATTCTTATAAGCAACTCCTGCAGTTGAGTGCAATTCACTTCCAGTGTCTGACTCTTGACTCCCAACCCAGTCATTGTCGCCCTGTCAGAGAGTTAAACTCCTATGACAAAAGCTGGAAGAATATGAAGAATTTCCCGTGTTAGCACACATCCAAGAATATGTGGTCCTTTTAGAAAAGCCCTGTATGTAGGAGAAAGTGGATCCAGGGAAGTAGGATATTGCACAAAAGCAGTATCTGCCCTGGTTCATAGGATCATGTGCTGCCCGTAGGCACAGAAGACCAAATATCTTGCCTAGGAATCTGTGGCTTGTTATCTCAATGCTTTGTTTTCAGAAATTCAGACAGTGCATCAAAGAAAAGCCTCCTGCCACTAAATGAGGCTCATCAGTAGTAAGATGGCACTGTGGACATTTAGTCTCAACATTGCCATCATACAGACTGTCTGATGACACCAAAGTGACATGATTGCATTTAGCCTGTCTGGATGAATCAGGATAACCTTCTGATTTTATGATTCTTAATTCATTCTCCTAAATGTCTTTTCCATGTAAAGTAACAGTCACAAGTTCCAGAGGGGATGTAGATGTTTCTCAGGGACTGTTATTGGGCCTACCACAATGGATAAGAACTCAAATGTGCCTAAAAGAAGGACCCATTTGTGGAAGAAGTTGGATATACAAGGAAAAGCTATTGTTTGTGACTCGAAGCACAGTAGGAGGAGTCTGCCAGAGAGAGAGGGGGGGGTCTATAAGTCTGAGGAGAGAGAGGAGGAGAGTATGAACCAGAGAGATACAGCAGCATTATTAGACAGTGTTCAGGGCTGGTTTGAGATTGGTGATCATTCATTATAGCAAGATTACTCCACACAGGTATGTGTTAATATCTTCAGAACCAGTAGGTTTTTGTGGAGCAGACTTAAGGGAGCAGGTGAGGTGACTTTTCTGATGCAATAGAGAAAAGTAAAAAGAGAGGGAGGCAAGGCAATTCCAGAAGAACTTACAGTAACAATGCATAACAAGACATGAACTCAAGGCAGGTAGAAGAAAGAACAAATGAGGCTACTGTGAGGACCTATATGTTGCCTTGATCATTCCTGAGGACAATTTTTAAAGGGGAGGTTTATTGGTGGGAAAATAGGAAGATAAATTACAGATATAATGTGATCAAAACTGTAATTGTATGACTCCACTTGAACAAACTCAACTGGGAGAGATACCAATAGAAAATAACTGTTTTCCCCCAGTCACAGGCTTGTTTACTTTGGGATCTAAAAAAAAAACTTCTTTCTGTAATTAAAATCCACTTTCAAGGATTAAAAGGAAGAATCTAGTTGTATAAATAAAAATTTGAATATTATATGCACTTCAAAGGTTTATCCTGCTGTTGTCCAGAACTGACCCAAGGGATTGGAACACCAGCTCCTCTGCTGCTCTTTTATTTATTCTACACCCCCACCTGTACTTGGGCTTGCCTAGACTCAGAGCTGGTACAATCTGCAGAATCATGGCTACCCCAACAATATCATTGTCATCCACCACCAGTGAATGTTTCATTATTCAGCAAAGGGATTCTCCAGGCACTATTAGACAACAGATTTCGAGGTAGGAAGACTACTTTTTATTGTCTAGGTGAGCCCTGCTTGGATAACACATCCCTTAAGAAAGGAGCACCAGTCCCAGCTCTGGCTTGGAACAGCTGTTCTGGTGGAAGAGGAGCTAGAAGAGTGATAAGGGCTCTGTCAGCATCGATGGAGGAGGGGTGCATTTAGAAGCTGGAGGAGGGGTGCATTCTGGAAGTCCATTCTGGAAGCCTTTGTGCTAGAAAAGCAAAGAGGCAGAGTCAGCTCTACTGACACCTTGATTTCACCCTCGTATGGGCCATCATACTGTGGGATTGTCAAGCAGAACTTCATTTGAGGCATACACTCTCCCTATAGAAAAAACAGAAGTTTTCAGAACTCTACCCCAGTGAGCACTTCTGTTTCCACAGCATCTCTCTGCTCCTGTGAGCTGATGGGAGTGCTGGGCCATGGACCTATTTGGCAACTTGAGTATCAACTTCCTGCCAATTTGTCTGCCCATGGGGCCTCTCTTTTAGAAAATGGCATTATTTGGACCCTATAATCCCCATATACAAAAGAAATATACAGTCTTTTAAATAACATTTTAAAATATGTAAAAACCCACAATTATTTAATTGTCAGTAGGGAAAAAGAATAAAATTACTGGTTGAGTCTCTCCCAAAGCAAAATAATCAGATTTATTAGTTGATCTTCTTGCCATTTGGGGTGGGGTTTTTTTGGCATAATGTGCAATTCTTATTCCAATTTATTATTGGTTAATTATCAGTTATTCATTATGTATATTCCCTTCCCAAAATTATAACTCTTAATGTTTGTTTCAGAGCCACAGTTATGAGACTTTTTAGACTAAGTCCACAGTTGGAAGGTTAGGGGGGGGGGACA